AAGCGGACGCTACCCGATTCATATGCTCCTTGCATTTTGTGGAAAGTGACTACATTGAGTTCGCAAGTGTCAAAAATGGAATCCCATACCATTTAGTTCAACGACGTATCGTCCACAACAATTTTTTTTTCAGTGATAATTATAAAAAAAGAAATGTAAACATTGCAAAATGCTTGACAAAAAAAAAAAAAAAAGTACACTTACTTTAGGGATCGAACCCGTGCGCCCTCTGCGTGTGAAGTGGACGGCTTTCCACTGAGCTACTGAAGGCACTCTTTCAGGCATAGTAACGAAGTCGGTAGACTGTAAGTCGGAAGTTTGCTGCCGATTTCCCCTCAATACATGCACCCCCGGCTTGAAGTCTGGCAGCACCACGCACATGCCACATTCGCACCTCGTAAAGAAACCGTACGCGTGCGTATTCAACTCGAAGTACGCACTTCGTGCTTGATGTTTGAGCGAGCGATGTCTTCAGCCACGAGAATGGACGACGGCTCGGCGACGTCTTCGTGCAATCGGCTTGCTGGTCGGGCGTGTTGTACGGGATCGATGTCAGTTCTTTTGATCGGTCCAAAATTTATTTTTCGAAGGAAGACAGAATTCGCCGGTGCCGTGAACGACAGTTCTGAAGTAGAGGTCCAACGCCCGTCGTCCGCCGCCATCTGCTAGTCCCACGATACGCAAAACGACGCCATGTTGAGAATTATGCAGTAAACGCACAGAATGCTTCCGGTTGTCTGCGCTATTTTTTTTTTTTTTTCATTCAAAGTATTTGCAGCTTTTTGGAAGCCACAAAAAATGGGTTTCATATTTTTTTTTTCTATTTTTAATATTGACTTTGTGGCCTCAATGACCCACGCCTTGGATTAAAATTGGTGGTCGCGTCGAAACCTTAGAAAACAGCCCGTGACCCTGGAGAAGAGAGTGAGCGCGACTCAGACCGGCCAATTCTTGATCGGCGGTTTTCGGGCGGAAAGAAACCGAATTTCGAGCCGCAAATTCTGTTCTGGGTAGTTGGGCTCTCATATGTCACGCACAACTAAAAACCTCGGCGAGCATAAATACCCTGTCATTGACCTTTTAAGGTTTCTTTTAATGATTTTTTTTTAAGTCCGAACACGACGTCGGAGTTTTGAGACATCTTCCCCAGGGAGAATAGTGCCTCGGATAAACACATTCCACCCATTTATTTATTTCGGTTACATTCTACTAACGACAGAAAAAAAAAAAAGAAGAGCAAAAACAGGCCATTGCATTGTTCGTGCAAACCGCGTCGCACTCTGTGCCTGGGTGCACAACAGCCTTACACTGTTGTTGCGACAGCCCGTTTTCGGGCGTTAAACTTTCCGATAAGCGCATCGTCGGAACGCGACTTCGCACGTTGATAACTATGGCGTAGGCTCGCTAAGCGTCGAAAACGCCGAACAAGCGGCAATAATATACATTAAAAAAAAACACCACAAAACCAAAAATGGATTTTGGTTACATCGTCGAGCAGGTGCCTCCATAGCAAACCTAACCCCGAAAAGGCTGGCGCCACTGTCGTTTTCCATGTTGAGGATCATACATGGGTAAATTACTTTCAAAATGTAATTTAATTACAATTACAATTACTTAGCTCCAAAAGTAGCTTAACTACAATTACAATTACTACTACGCAAAAGTAGTTCATTGCAATTACAAATTACTTTTTAGAAGTAATGCAATTACTTTACAATTACTTATTTCTGAGAGTTACCCCCCACATTGGGCCATATAACTGTAAACGAGTTATATGGCCTCTGCATAAATGTCACGCATTGTACTTTCCTTTTATGAAATTTGTTAAATGGATTATAGAACTTAATAGTTTGGAGTAATGAACTCCTGCGTTCATATATTCTCAAAACATAAAAAATGGCGACAAAATTCACAGGTGCGAGGTGAATCTCCTTAGAGCTTATGCAAATGATATCCAAGTCAAACCAAGAAAAAATAAACTTAAAAATAATACAAGGAAACAAATATGCGACAGTACTGGTATCATAAAACTCACGTAAAAATGGCTAATAAGAGAAACTTGTAAACGACGTCAAACATTTAAAGGATACGACAACTTACGAAAACATTTCAGCCACGATGATTCGCTGCCTCTCCCTGTCTGTGGACTTGTAACATGCCGGATGCGGGTAACCGTAGCACGCGAACTGTGGTCGCTTCCACAAAACTAGTGTCACAATAGCAGCAACTCTATTGCCAGGGATTCTGGGTTAATTCAGTGCACGGTAACACCCAAAAAGCTCCTGAGATAAATAATAAATTTAGGATCGTCATGTAGCTAATCATTAGGATAGCAATGGTTGTATCGATGTTATGCGTTTCATAAAGAAGACCGATTTGAATTTAGCATGGCAAGAACGACCTCGAAAAATTCATGATACACTGCAAACGACTTTATTTTCGCGAATTGCGCGAATCGCCTACAATTCGCGAAAAAAATTTAAACATATCGGAATCTATATCGCGACCGCACCGCGTCGCGAAAATTAGAATCCGCGAATTATTCCAAAACTGCGGCCTCTTGGACGCCTCGATTTCACGATTTACTTGAGCGTGTTTCAGCTGGAAGATATAGACAAGCTATTAATATTATTATTATTTTTATAACTGTAAGTATTATTCAAAGTAACAAGAAAGTTGCCTACCTGCAAGTGTTTCCGCAAATTGGAGGTCGCCTTTCGGTTTATTGAATTTGTTTTCAGAAACGGTGCGGAGAGTTTGCTCCTCACGATTATAGTTTTTTACATTGGTGCTAATCTGTTTAGAGCATTTTTCGCAACAAGGCCTCGGCAGCCTTTCCTTTTCCATTGTAGATAAAGACTGTTGCAGCTTCTCAATGCAAAGCAGCACTGCGCGCCTCGGGACGGTTCCACAGGCCAAGACGAGAGGACAACGCGTGGAGGGTCACGATAGAGGTGTAAAAACAAAGTGCAAGGCAAGCCCTCTATAAAAAAAGAAGCCTTCAACGAACAACAAATGCAAAAACAAGCTCCCTACAGCTAAAGCCGCGGTTTGTAAGTTTTGGAATCTCGTCCAATCAGGCTGACAAACGGTTGAAAGGGTTAGGTAGAGCGAACACTAAATAATGAAGATTTATACAAAAAGGTAGACGAGGATTGGGAGAAGGAAGAGCAGTGCAGCAAGAACAGTTGGAAGTAAGGCAGGGTGAGTCGTGTTAATGAGACCTGAAGCTTCTTTGCTTCTTCGCCTCGATGTTAGAGTAGCTCGACTTGCTGTTAGTGGTATCAACATACGAGATAGAGGAGAAGGACGTGAAAAACTCAAAGAAAAGAGAATAATTTCATGAACAAAAAAGTTCCAAACCTGACTGAAATATGTAAGCGAATATGCTAGCGGCGAAGACGCGAAAGGAGAACCTCGAACCTCCCCGCCTCGACCGAATGATGTGATCGGAGCCAACCAGCTCGACTTCGACCTCCGATGCCCCCGTGTGGGAATGAGAAATAAGAAAGACCCCTAGAAGCAGGAGCAACAGGAAGCAAACGAGACGAAGAGTCAGATTCAACTACGACAGGAACGAAAACGGACGCGAATGTAGCCCTCATTTATCAAATTATTTCTCAAATTCTTCATTAAATCGTTTTACAGTCTACAAAATCCTCCATTCCGTTCTATCCCAGCCTCTCTTTCCCATCCCTCTTTTCCTTTTTTTCGAGCAGGTTGGGAGACACACTCTCCCCTGTCGCTTTGACTGTGCTGTCGTCTCCGTGGTCAGGGGGGAAAAGCGCCGCCGCCACAAAATCTTGCATAAGTAACTGTAATTGTGCCTGAAATTTAGCAATTACTGACGCTAGAAAGTAATTAAATTACAATTACAATTCCTTTTAGCCAAAAGTAATTATTGCAATTACAAATTACCAGGAAAAGTAATTAAATTACTGTAATTGAATTACTACCCAAGTATGTTGAGGATCCACACACGTTTGCACCGCCCACTGGTGGCATCAACAAGCGTTCCGCTTTCAACCCAAAAACGTGTGGGGCACACACCCCACACATTTTTTGTAAACTCAAATAAAAACATTTTTTTTTACGACGAATTGTTTTTATTAGTCAGTTTTCGTAGATCGTTTTTCCTACTCTGCTACGCTCTATACGCAACGAAGACGCCTCCAGTGAGCATGCGCGCCGCTGGCCTTGACTGCAGAGTTCAGGATCCCGTAGCGGATTGCGGAAAGCGTTGCGGGACAGAAGAAACGATCTACGAAAACTCCCTATTGAATCGCTTACTCACTTTGAGTTAATAACGGAGACACTTAAACGTGCAATCTGCTCTATAAACTAATGAAATAGTGGAACAAGACAAGGACCATAGTTCGATGAACCAACTCTCTAAACTTTGGGACCTATGCCTGGACACATCCCTGTACTAATATATTACCGTTCAATTGTACAAAAAAGAAAAAATATTTTTTTTTTACTAATTTTTACATAAGAAAAAAAATGTTAAACCTAACCCTACACGCGGAGACTAACTTCATCGACACTGAAGCGAACCGGTACAGCTCAATTCCGTCACGCCAAGGATACCGAGACTTTTAACCCTCGAGGAAACCTTCCATGCTTTGCCTGATAACTGAGGATCCCCCCTCCCCTATCTCGACATTAATGATGCAGTAAAGCAGTATACGGGCCCACAGAGCTTGCAAACAATACTGACCATATATCTGGAGAGCGTTCGACTCATAGTTGCGCATCGATGGACGGTTTAGGTCTGCTGAGGAACTTCGGGAGCTAGGGAAAGCAGCCACGAGGGTGCTCTCAAGAACCCTATTGGGGGGGGGGGGGGGGGGGGGGGGGGTCTCTGGGACACCGGTGAAGGTGTCCTGGGGGAGAAACCACAAGGGTGCTCCGGAAACCCCGTGTTCCTAAGAACCCGGTTTGCGAACAGATGCGTCCCACCAACCCTTCCGTATTCCGCAGGTATGTGCAATAGTTACCGGAGCTTGTCGTAGACATAGACGGCCAGCATCCTGCTGAACGCAGGCATCGCTGAGTCAGAGTGTCGTTGCCGACGCCGCAGCCGCCGCCGTGTCAAGATTCCAGCGAGGCGATGGAAACATCTGTGCGTGCGGAGTCACGACGACGACGACGAGCACGTCCGCCGATAACAGGGCGGCGCTAATCTCCAGTCACAGCCGCCATCTTATCTTATCGGGGGGACTTCCCAAGTGGCAAATGACTGAGGGGGGGACAACGCCGGAACCGCGCTTATCCGAAACGGTCAACGCAAGCTCGGACAAACTAAAAAAGAAAAAAAAAAGAAGGAAAGAAAGAAAGGAAACTCTACATTATTGACACTCGGGATAGAATAGGATACGAAAGAAACAAATGAGCCCCGCGTAGACGAGCGCTTGTCATCCGCACGGAAAAGAAGAGTTGGTGCCCGCTCCGAACTGGTGTGAGAACTCACTGCGTGTCGTCGTTTCTGTCACAAAGAGAGCGCTACAGAAGACCGTACCCGTCTCCGTTAGAACATCCTCTGAAAGGCGAACGGATATCCAAATACGCCCGCGAACAACCCGTACATAGCTCCTTTTTTTTTTTTTTTTTTTCCCCGACACCGAGTACGTCAGCCGGCCGAATGTGCAACAGCTGCGTCAGACCTCATGTGGAGAGGGGGAAAGAGATACCAGACTGTTTCCTGCAATCTTTCCTGGCTTCCACATACCTACTATATATACATACTATGTATATACACGCGTAGCAATGGCACGGTTGGAATGACATAGTTTATCAATTTCTCTGTGTTCCTTCAAACACATCACTAAAAGTACAAAAATAAATACACACACACACATACGTATATGTCTTAGGCTCTTTGCAGCAGCTGTGCATTAGCGCCGCCGTAACCGACCTTCAGTTTTTGTTTCCTCTTATTACGTTTACAACGGTTCATCATTGCCACAGCAGGGCAGGTTATCGCCATTATAGATTCTACCTTGTCCTTCTCCACAGCATCGACCTTAGTGGAGGCTCCTCAACGCCCGCTTCAGTGGCCCGACATCTGGATAAGACGAGAGAAGGTCAGCAATGGCGGCTGTAATCTGGTGCGTGTGCAAAGTGTCTGTGCACAGACACGAGAAACTACGAAATGAACGAACCACAGATAAGGTGTCCACCAAGACAAACTCCATCGTCTACAAAACTAATAAAAAAAAACGGAAGGCAGATTTTTGCAACTGCAATCTTATTTTTGAAAATGATACGCGTGATAGAGAGCGAGCCCTGGTAAGGGCAGCTAAAGATGTGTTTCTTAGCCAAAAGCCAGTACGTCCCCTTTACGATCGAGTGATAGTCTCTAACCATACCGGATGATGTTTCTGATTACTGTAATCGGATTTGTCACACTCGTTACCATCCCCGGGTTTGTCACACCGGTTACCATAACCGGATTTGTCACACTTATTGTCACTCGGATTCGTGACACTTGTTAACACAACTGGATTTGTCATATTTGTTAGTACAACCAGGTTTGTCAAGGCTGGTTAGTGTAACAAGATTTGTCACGTTATTAAACCGAATTTGTCACCCTGGTTGATATCAACAGATTTGTCCTCGTGGTTGCAATAACCGGATTTTCCACACTTGTTACTATAACCGGATTCGTCACCCTAGTTACTATAACCGAACTCGAACAGAACGAAGGTCTAAAGAACCCAATCTAACACGTTCTCCTGATGGACATTCAAGGACGATGCGAGTTCCCACGTCAATGATGACAGTCTTTTATAGCCTTTCTTTATGTTTTTATATAACACCCTCCCGGCTCTCGAGCCACTTCTCCTTCGCATCTCCGCCCCTCCCATCCAAAGCCGATTTCCCGTCCATAAAAATTGGCGCGACAGGCAAACACCCGCTGCGTTGACAGCACGTGTCATGGAGGAGCACCTCAAGTGCAGCTCGGTGCACCTCCTCCTGTGACTTTCTCCCTCAAGAACTTCCGGACGTCCGACCTTCCCCGTCTCTTACGGCGTTACGTGTGCGCTACATACACACAGAGGAAGAAGCCTTCGGAACGCCGATCCAACACTGATAACACTCTCCGATAGCATCCAATTCTCGCGATGAGGCCCAAAACAATTGTGGTCAGGTTGTACAGCTCTCTAACAAACAGCCTTATCGGATATATATATATATAGTCGTCCGTCTAGTCGCCTTGTCGTCAGTAATTTGGCCTCCTCCAAAGTTTCGGAACGCAATCTCCAAAGAAAGAATAAAAACAGCGGCGTCTCAAACTTTTACATTCACGCCGCGTAGCATTCCAAAACGGCAAGTTAACACACTTACTCGTAGTACACGCTGAAGTTTCGGCAGGTGTTTCTTTTCGACGCGGTGAACATTTTCGGACGTTTCGTGGCACCGAAATAGTAACGGTTCACGGCTTTTCGCAGACAACAACTACACAGGGAGCGGCCATGTTTGTTGCATTCAGATTGTCAGTCGCTTATTTACTTATTTTCCACCTTCGCATCGTTATGTGGCCCGGCTTACGACAGGTGGCGCTACCAGGTGTTACATTGTCTGCTAGTGGAGCGATAGTTCGTTTATTCGACGCACTCTGATCAATTATCGTAACGAGGAGTAACACCAGGTGAATCGAATCGACTCCTTTAACCCCTCGTGCCTTTTGATAGATGCCACGAACCGTTAGTTCGGCAAGGGAAGTTTTCGCCCGGCGAGGGTCACGACCCTCGGTTTGGAGCGACACGCGTCGCGGACAAACGAACGCACGGCGTTTGGCGACCGTCGTCTGCTATCTCGGGTGAACGCGCGCGCGTGTGGCGTCGTCTGCTATTTCCGCCTCCCGTGCCAAGCGCATTCGCGCCGACGTCTGCTCAAACAATCGCGCCCCCAGAAACACGCCAAAAGACGTGGCGTCGCACAAAACGAACCATCCAGAAATGAGGTCGCGCGGGAGAGACATGCAAACAAGACAAGCCACACTCTACGCCGGAGCAACTTTGGGATTCAAGGTTCAAGAAACAACCTCAGCAGACTAACAATAGGACGCGCACCCAAAGAATGGACCTTTTCCACATACCGACGGCACCAGGCGGTGGCTGCACGAACTAAAACTCGAGGAAGTGACCTACCTGCGCTAACAATCGATACCGGGAGCTACGCTACCAGTTTCTTCGCTCTCCGAGCTGCGTCGCGTGCCCAACGCGAGCTTAAAGATGGGCATCCGTGGCGTCCACCCAATCGTTGTGTTTTTCCTTCCGTCCACTTTCTTTTTTTTTGTGTAACCCAATAATATATATGCTGTTCTACTCGCTTATCCACAGGCTCATTCCGAATTTCCTCGAGTTTTCGTTCCGACTTCCGCCGCTTGGCATCGGGCGCTCGCGCGTGCGCAGAACGCTTCTCGGAAAAGGTCCATTCCGAAGGGCGAATGTCCTTCCAAAAAGCCACTTGTGACAGGCCATTACGAGCAGATGTATCACTATATGCCTCGAATGTGAACTGAAAACATGTTCAATATTACTACCAACGTCAAAAGCGAAAGCTGCGTCTTTTGTATAAAAAAAAAAAAAAAAAAAAAAAAAACTAGCTGTCAACCATTAAATAATAATAATAATAAATTAAAAATGCGCACAGTTTGCGCGTTGCGCAAAGTGATTCTTACGATAATTCTTTTTTTTTTTTTTTTTTGCATTTCCCCTCGCTCGATTGTGTCCGTCACATGAACATGTGACGGACACATGTTCATAAAATAGAAGAGACTATAAATGCGCACACACGTTTCATGATTCACCCCATAAAAGGAAAACTCAGAAACGCTTCGCAAGGAATCGGACATAATTTACTACGGTCCTTGAGATGAAATAGGGTATGTTCATCGCTATTCTTTTATTATTTAACTTTAACGTCGTAGTTCCTTTTTTTTAACACGTTTTTTGTATTTTTGTTACCACAAGCTCTAAATCTGCATCACAATTTGTCACCGCGGTTGCACGAATCCAAGATGTTTAAACAGAAAGTTTTGCAACCTTAATTTTTTTTTGTCAAATTTTTTTATGCGTGTGTATGAGTGATAAGCATGTGTGCAGTCTTAATCTTGTGTGTTACCTTTAAGCTTGTATGTCTGTGGTGATTATGTATAAATATTTTGTGTTTTACCGCGAAGTTCTTCAGGCTTTCGGGTTGTTGGTATGCACGTGCAAAAATTAACTTTATACAAACACACATTAGCAATAATTTAGTTTTGTTATTTAAGTTGGGGAAGGAAATAATTCGTTATTATTATTATTATTATTGTTAACTCCACCGAAATCACCTGCTTTTAAACAGTTCCCTTCCAGAACTTTGGGACCCCTACCCGAATGCATCAATGACAGCACTTGTAAGAAAAAATAATAAACTTGTGATTTTGACAAGGGCTGCGTTTGCGTCACGTTGTTCCGATTTGGCTACAAAAAAAAAAAAAAAAAAAGAAATCCCCATCTTTTTATACGCCATATTCCACAGGGTGTTTTATTTTTTGTTTTAGATATTTGTTTTCAAGAGAACCACCACCAGGTGGTTTTCCACGACGCTGAGCGAGCTTCTAATTGGAACACACACACACACACACACACACACACACACACACACACACACACACACACACACACACACACACAAACAAACACACACACACACACACGCACGCACGCACGCACACACACACACACAAAGGCCGCTGCCAGAACGAATGGGACGCCGTCGAGCATGTTAGCATTTGACGAGACAAAGGGACTGTATATGTATTGCGAGGGTACTGACGAAGCAGAGTCCCGGCGAAGGTAAGAATACACACGCTTCGAAGCTGGAGATGGAAGAAAACTCGGGAAACATTCTCAAAGCAAAGGAAAGTGCGGAGGAAAAAAAAAAATTGTGCCTCGCGCTTGAAGCAGGAACAAGGCAGCCACATGTGCGCGTTTTCTCACGACTTTACCAAGAAAGTCAAATTTCGGCAACGAGCGTATTAAAAGAAGAAAAAAAAATGTAACGAGATGTGCACGCAACTCCCCGTACCCAACGAGGGGGAAAACGGCACAAACACGACATCGCGGTCGTTTCGCATGTTCTTGGTGTCAAACACCTTTTACCGCCTGCGTC